ATTGTTTTGTCTTTACTGCCTTTTACGATTGCCACTTTAAACACAGGGCCCTCATTATATACTTTATGAAGAGAAAGAAGGGTCTCATTAAAATCCCACGTATTCTCGTCCCAGTTTCCACTCAACTCCCARCCWCCCAGTTCCGTAATAYGCTCTCTCAGAGGTGCGTCACCAAGATTGTCGATGGSCGCTAYGTTCATGCAGGATTGGTACATATCATGTGGCATTTGCYGWACTTCATTGCTTGCTCCTTGTACTCTTATGTTTCCCATTTGTATTTTCCTTTTTTTATATTTCTCTGTTTTCAATCCAATTAKTCGAWATTGATYWAAATACGAGTAGCCTGCCGGTAAAGGATTGTTTGTYGGCCATCTCCCACAAGCGTACTCATAAAAGTCATCGCAAGGGTTCACAGTCAGGTTCATCGAACTTTTGATTTGATTGGCTACGTCAATGCATTCAGTGGAGCTACACACCCTGCTGGTTTGAGTGTTGGTTTTGCCTATTGTCTTCGCATTTCTTGGGGATCGAATCTTGATCAAAYCTTGATCAAGAGAACTCATCTTGTTCTGACTTGCTGCTACGTGGATCATGGATATCACCAGTAAGACTGCTAAGAAACGAGGACCATGGATTAACAACCATCGCTTGTTTTCTTGTCTCACACYGCTGCCTGCATTCATCATTCTTCCCATCACGACTACGCTGATTCTTGCTGCTTGTCTGTAAGGATACTAGCTGCTCTTCTCATAGAAGAGTGTTACCAAAACTGAAGGCTGTTCAATCCAGTTTTTGTTTAATACAAGTTTGAAAAATGTTACGTAATTTCTTTATTGGTAAACCAAACGTCTATCCTACCTGTTCAAACATGCCGCTTGTCACGGAACTTTATTTTTTTAAATTCCATTCAATGCTTGTCATACTTTGTTTCGTTGGTAAAAATTACCTGCTTCTGCCTTCCAAACTTTAAAGACTACATTTTTCTTTCATGTAAAAGTTTCTGTGTTTTTTAGTTAACTGTAAATATTATCTAWTATTTTTGCTAGGATTGCATTCATTGCGTGACCATTACAAACATAAAAATCGCTAAGCATCCCACATGATTCAAAGTGTTTAATGAGAATCTCTCGCATGCGATTTTTTTACATTTTTTTCGTCACCTGTCATCTTCCGTCAAAACGGACAACTATACGATGTCCTAAGACTTGTTTATATCCCTATTTTTATTAGATCATATAATCAAATCACGGGGCACACTTATTGATTTACATTTACAACAGGCGACCGCTATTGTAGAACTCAAGAGTAAACTGAGAAATAAACTCGCCACCGACACGAGTGAAAAACGTCTGCGCATGCTCGGAATCCGTATGCAAATTAGTCAAAACATAAGTAAATTTGACTTTCAAACATGCCTGATAAATTGGACTTCACAAAATACCAAAACTTAGTGTCCACGCTTGAAGCTTAAGGCTAATTCTTTCATATTGTGTTTGTTAATACAGTACCTTGGTCTGACAAAAGCATACTCTCGAACGTTTTTGTATACTTGGAGAAAACAAACATTTATTTTCTCACTCAAACTCTTCAAAATTCTTAGAAAACGTGCTGAAATGCACGCATGCACAAACGTTTTTCTCTAGTGTCCTCGGTACCTAAGTACTGCAAACAAAACCGTTGTGGGTCTTTTGAAATCTGTAATCTTAGAGTGAATTATGGGATGTGAGCTATGAATTTCAATATCAAGGCAAAGTGATAATTGTTCTGTCTTTTTTCAAACAGTAGTGTAACTTTAGGATAGTGAAGAAACTCATGTTTTGATTCAAACTCAACTTGAAATTGTCTGCGTCTACGCAACATTACCATTTCGAACAAGACACTGGTGGATGGAAGGAACGGGTTACCTGGTTGGAACTGTTAATCAATCCAAAGGAAAAGTGAAAGGAGAAGCGGAAATAAGTTGCAAAGTACTAGTTTCGAAAGATAGTGACAGAGCAACTAATGTACAATGAAAGCCAATTTGGGCAAAACGTTTATGGCATTATTTCAATAATAATCGAAAAAATCAATTTCAATTCTAATTTCAGCAGTCCGTCAAACAGGAATTCGGATTTTCACATACGTCTTAGACAACCTGTCTTCACTTACGTGGCATGTGCTAACGAGATAGAAATACGCTCGGCTAGAAAAGTCAGCGCTAAATCGGCAAGACAGGCTAATCTTTGCTCAAGACTTCTCTCAGGAGTACTTGACTCTTCATAACTAAACCTATATTTGTAAATTGCCCTATTTCACTATGACGTCACTGCTTGTTTATGTGGGGGATAGAATCGCCAAATCCAATAGAAAATTCAACAAAATTTGCTCCTAGCGAAACAGTTTTTAATCTAAAATGGCCTGGTTTTCAGATATAATATGTGTCACTATGTACTAAACAATATTCTGAGCGTTTGCTGGCTATTCTACTTCTCTTCGTGGATTGATACGGGTTTTAGAACAATTTTCGGTGAATTTGCGTTGATTTGACCCCCTCCGACGACCATGATCCTTTGCGTTTAAATAATAGATTGCTTTGATGTGACGTCATAGTGAAATAGGGCAATTGATGAAATAGTTGCAATAGTTGCAATTGGTCATTTGCTAAAAGAAAATGTTCATTTACGAGTAAGCTAGAAGTTGAATCTGAAGGTCAAAATACATGCGTTCAAGAAATTTATTTTCATCATTTTATTATTCTTAAAATGCAATGAAAGCTTAAATACTTTTTGTGTACCTCATTTTTAGCTGTACTAGTTTTAAAGCAAAAATAGAGTGACCACAGTAAATCCGTGAAACTTTAGTAATACTAAATAGCACAATGTCATGCAAATTCCATTGTTTTCTATTGTTTAATTAGCACTATTTTGTACTATTTAGTAATTAGTGTTTCACGGATACATTTTTTTTGCACTCTACCTTAAGAATATAGAGTACAAATACTAAATGTGTGCAATAGTGATCTATTTAACAGTGGTCTTACCTATACTCCTTTAAGCGGTTGTGGAGGTCTAGCGTCCACCTTCAGATAAAGATACAAAAGCCTAAAATTCTAATAACAGGGAGGGAGGGTAGGGTACTGAAACGGCGACCAGGGAAGACGGAGTACAGGCAAGATAGGTAGGTATGTATATATATCGCTGGAGCAAATGATCATGTAAGGGAATCCGGTATCCAGAATCCACGAAATTTTAGGCTTTGGAGTCCGGAATCCAGGCCTTGGAATCCGGAATCCAGTTTATTATGGAATCCGGAATCCACCCTTTTGGTATCCTGAATCCGCTACTTTGAAATTCAAAGTCTACACTCAAATGCTAATCAAACGCTTTAAATAGACGAGGGATATAACATGCCCAAAACAAAACAAAAGGTGATAAGACTGAAAAAGAAGTGAGCCAGGCATACAGCGCACAACTGAATGGAACGCACGTGCGTTTCCAGAGATGAGGGAACAAATGGTGCAATACTTGAATAAAACAACATACCGTAGCAAACGTAATTATTTCTTATAAACTGCTCGGAAGCTACGCTTATTAATAAGCAAAATAGAGAGTCAGTAAGCAGTATACTTAAAAAATGCTTGACATGTACAGAGTCAAGAAACAATAGTAGTTTAACGCGCACACCACTTCTGCTCTGGAACCACCTGCATATAACATATAGTCAGGGTCGGACGAGGTTTTTTAAAAATTGAAATCCCTGCTATAACCGCTCGACAGAGTCAGGAAAGCCAATTACTGTAAAACAACTCTGCTGTGGAGCCGCATTACACAATATACAGTCAGGGTGACGTGTTTTGTTCGAATTAAATCCCTACTCAACGCTCGTCAGAGTCAGGAAAGCCAATGGCCGTGAAATAACTCTGCTCTGGAGCCACAAATACTCAAAATATTCGGGGAATAATGAATCTTAGGACAAATGTAAAGCGTGAAATAAACCCCTGTTTGATGCTCGACAGAGTCAGGAACTGAACAAAATTGCCGTAAAACAAACTATTTTACAAATCACACGAATATTTGCCTGTTAAAGGACAGAAGGTACCATTCTAGTGATCTTGAACTGGGGCTCTTCSACTTGATTCCTCGCGGCGTGAGACATGATCACTGAGCAACTTCTTGCTCAAAGTGGTAATGTATTCATCGTGGGTGTTACTTATATGTCGTATTGGGAAAGACCGCTGTGAATAGTTATCACTATTCAGTAGTAAATAGCACTAATTAAACAAAAGAAAACAATAGAGTGAAGGCATTTAACCGGTACTATCGTCGTGTATGGATTAATGAAGTACGTCATAAGTTTCCGAACACACAAGAGAAATTTTGGTTCTCACTTAGAAAAGAAAATAAGTGAAGACACCAAGAATCGAACTCGGTACCTTCGGCACCAAGGAACTACTACAATGCAAACCCTAAACCTAACCCTAAACCTAACCCCTAGACCACGAAGTGAATTCGGTTGGGTGGTCTCATTTTTTAGTCATATTTAAACGATGTATCATCAGCATGTGCACATAAATATTTATTATAGTTTAATTTATGCTATCGTAGGGTACGATTACTAGCCGGCTACGGCTACTCGAAATTTGAATTTGAATAGAATTCCCCTGACAATTCCCGTACACGACGATACAACCATTTAACCCGAGAAATAAAAAATACTAGTCAACGTGTAATAGTCAAATGGGCACAAAAGAAAACAATGGAATTAGTCATTGTTTTACGGCGCATGCGTCTTCAATCAAACAAAGCATTGTCATTATCACATAGCGTTAAATATAATATTCAGTGCCCCCCAAATATTTTTGCAGTGCTCCCCCCTCCCCCCCCCAAAGATTTTTAGCTTTCCCCGCCCCTGACAATGTATTTTTCAACCTGATGCCAGTTCAAGTCGGTAGCTATGACTGCGATTTCCCTCCAACCCATCTCTATTCTTCCGTCTCGATCGGTATCACCACCTTAATGTGGTGAGGCGGTTTGTGTGTCCCATTGACCCCTAGAGCTATGCCGGTGAGGCTGAATTTGGAAAGCACTCCCAAAATAACGGCAAATTCGAAAGACAAGCAAGGGGAACAAGAAACCGCAAGCTACTGAAACGAGCTGACGTGTTCAAAATAACGAAAAAATATAAACTGGCATTAGCTACTACGGACGTATCAACCTTCGAATTATTCAATATACAGCCCTCGAAAATACAGAAAGGCGTGGCCCTATTGTTATTATTTACTATTATTATTATTATTATTATTATTATTATCATCATTATTTATTATTATTATTTATTATTATTATTATTATTTTGGCCTTGAATGTATTACGAACGCACCGAATGAAATAATGTACAGGTCGCCCTATAATTACCAAGAATGAATGTAAATGTAGGCTAATTAAAACAAGACCCTAGACATGTTGAACACGAACTTTATTCAATACTTATGAACTATTTTGTTAATGCCAAACTTATTCGGTGATTGCTAGTTAGTATAACCAAGAGAAAATGAACTAAGAGAAGGAATCCCCGTGCCCCATCATGTGCACACTTTGATGCTATTTTTAGAATCATTGATGCTATTTTTAACTCGTTACCATACCCGCGCGATAATCATGCTTTCCTTTAATGCCTCGTTTTAGGACACGAAAAAGCGCCATATTTCGCTACGTCCACGACAAAAACACAGGCTTTTGTTTACTGCAAGACTGGAAGCTGCCTACCTTCAAGAAATCAACCAATCAGGTTCTTCGCTCAAAATATCTCCAAGCTAAAAATAGCATCAAACTTTGCACATGATGGTTACAAGGCTATATAAGTAGGATTCCTTCTCTTAGTTCATATTCTCTTGGTATAGCGGTTAGCAGCTGTTATTTGCGACATGACCGTTCTGTTACGACAACAGTCCCTCTTTACTCCACAGATAACATTTGTTGATTGGATTCATTGGGCTGTACTTTTTGCACCTAAATGCATTGGCGAACTCGCATGAATTTACCAGAGAACCAATAATCCTGTTAGAATGAAGAAATGGTCAATATGATAAGTCGCTCGATCCCTATTGTCAACAGTGTATTCTATAAACTAATTAGTTTTGTATCGCAATTCATAAGAATTAAACACAAAAAAAGAAGGGAAAACTGACCGAATAACTTTGATTAACTGCGAAATTCTCCTTACGAGCACGCGTTATCGCGCAAACAACAAGCGTAAAAATTTGACGCGCGCGCGCTCAAGCTTTCCTTTTCGTCGCGCGTTAGCCAATCAGAAACCTTAATTTTGAAACGACAATACCACGAAATATTGTCGTCTCAAAAATATAAGAGACTATTTAGTGAATCGCGATAATCAACAATGCACTAACCTGAATTTGTGATCTGTATAAGTGGAACCAACAGTTTTATCATATCGCTGTTTATCGGTAGCAGAATGACAAAAGCCCTGTGTATAGCATTATAAAACTCATGAATAATTAATGAGAGAAACACAATAGAAATCATTGTCCGTGGAGGTTGTTGTATATCTGATACAAAACCGTCCTGATTTGCATAAACTTTAACTCCAATTTTCTTAGCCAAATTCAATTTTATCTTTAAAATTATAGTAGAACATGAATGTATACACCTAGACGTTTCATAAGTAATATACAATATGAGTGGCCGTGTTGTATCAGATATACAATCACTCGCCTTCGGCTCGTGGTTGTATATCTGATACAACACGGCCACTCATATAGTATACAGTCAATTCAAAAAATGTTGTCGTCGACCAACTCAAGCCTACGCGACTGGACCGAAAGGAACTCTGGGTAGTAATCATTGAAGCCGAGTTGACTCCATAATTTTATCTGACTAGTTACGCCTTGTTTACAGCACGAACCTTCGTAAGCGAGCGGGAAGTGTTGAAGGAGACGTTTTTTAAATGCCTTCATATATTCGAAATTGTGAACTGAATCATAAGTACTTTGTTTTTGTTTCCTTAACCCCAAAGACATACATTTGATGGATTGTTTCTTGCCTTTTATATCTTATTACTAGCGGGCACAATTTATTCAGAACGAATATTTAAACCGCTTCAGTGATTTTTACCCATATTCCTTTCGGTCCAGTCGCGTAGGCTTGAGCCGGTCGACGACAACGTTTTTTGAATTGACTGTATATTACATAACGAGTAATCAAATCGTTGACTTTCTTTTGAATACTAATATAATTACAATCGAAAGTAAAGTGAAGGCAAATTTAAATGTTTAGTTCAAGTTAAAAAAGTAAAAAGAAAACAATGATAAAGATAAGAGGAATCAGGAAACAAAGGGTAACAAAAGATAACCTCGTCAGCCCTAACCTGAGCAAGTCCAACGTAGAACAACTGTTCATTGGTGTAAGTTAGGCCTTGTAGCTGCCATGTTTCACTGGGATATCGACGTGCCCAGTTGTAATACGCCTAAGAAATAACTACTGATTACAAACATGTATGAACAAAGATGTGGGAAAATACCACTAAAGGGGTAAAGGTTTTCTTCAAAGTTCTGCTTCAAAGTTGGTGCAAAACAAGATTTTTCATGGACCTCCCTCACACGCTTACTGATAAGGCAAAAAAAAATTTATTTATTTATTTATTCTATGCAGTCACGGCCTCAAATACATAACATGAAGTCTTTGGATCGCAACTTGCGCAAGAAACTGGGTTGGAGAGTAGATGTTGATTATTTTCCATACACAGCATTGGTCAAATACAAAGCATTCAACAGAGGCTGCAAGTTGGTTTCAAAGGATTTTTCAAATTTTGCCCTATATAGCTTCGGATGAATGCATATTTTACCAGTAAACCTATGCATGCAAAAAACCCCTGAATTTTCTTCCTTACAGGTTCCTGAAACCGCTCTCAGTGGCCTGTTTTACGATAACTTACAAATTTCTATTGCGCTGATTAGTTATTGTTTTATTATCAATAAGTGGACAGACAGATAAAGATGACGTCAACGAGTACGCTCTCTTTCCGTTGGTTGCTCGATTTGATCGCTAAAAATGAGAGGTTTTTGTCGTTTTTTGTTGTTGTAAAAAAACAAATAGACATCAGTTTTTTAAGTGTCTGTCCTCTTATTGATGATAAATTTCGTCATCACATTGTCAAAGTAGTATATGATGCGGATCTACTCGGCTACGCCTCGTGGATCCAGACCATTACTTTGACAATGTGATGACGCAATTTATCGTTAATAAGAGGACAGAAACTTACAAAACTGATGTCTATTTGTTAATCTCACCACCTGATTCTGTCTTCAATAAAATATGGCTAAATTTGTAGTACCTTGAGTGCTATTTTTAAACCACCGCTGTCTGCAATATTCTCTTCAGCTGTAATTTTTCCATTGATCTGAATAATAACAGGCAATCGTTAGTACCATGGTTACTGTTAAAGCAGAGCTCCTTTGTTCTTCTACTAATGCTTACAGGCCATTTTCCTAATACTTTGTAGTTGGAGTACTGTTTTTCGTAGCATTTTAGTCTGTTACTGAATTCTAGAAGCGAACTATTTGTCCACCAGTTAGTCTTTCTTCCATTCTTGTCATACAATCTACCTGCATGTGAAAGCAAACATATCATTATCTATAATGTTCAAATATTTTCATATTTTCAATATGGAAAAAAAAAAAAAAAAAAACAATTACAAGCTAATTCAAAACAAGTTTCAAACTATCTGGCAAATCCAACAGAGTAATTCCTTTATACATATGCACCTATTTCGAAAATCGTTGTCGCACCGAAAGCCTCAGCAGTAAGCCAAGACCGCAGAGAACACCGGTACTTTTAGCTGTAATTAGTTTATTTATGGTGCATTTTCATTTATTGACTTCACAAATTGCTCCAAGCAAGGCTGTTTGAGATGACAATTAGTGTAGAGCTATAGCCACTTGCATGAACCATGAATAAATCAATTATAATTAAAAGTACCGACGTTCTCTGGAGCCTTGGCTTGTTACTTGAGGCTCTTGGTGCGACAACGATTTTCGAAATCGGTGTATATAAATGGTCTAGCTATGTCCTACAGCTGAAAGACACATGGGTATTTGTAACGCGTTCATCTCACTTGTAGTTGTTTATTAGCTTCAATATGAATCCTTCTGACAGATGTAAATCTAGTACTAAACCTTTCGAGCACTTAAAAATTCGTAATGGCATCTCGCGAGGCAAGAACACTATTTTTAGACAACCAGTTCAGCTCCTCCAATAGTACCCGACTACGACTATGACTATGCGTGTGTGCATGTAACGACTTACAAACGTGCAAGAACTATCTCAAGTGAAAACCTGCATGTGTGCTATTTTTTTCACTTAGGCCCCGTCCACACGTATCCGGAAAATTTTGTATCCGCAAACTTTTTTTTGCGGATACGAAAATGTTCGCGTCCTCACGCAGCGTATTCGAATCGTTATCGAATCGTTTTCACTGTCCACACGTATCCGGAAATTTCTTGATCCGCCCTGATGCACGCTAGTGCCCTAGTCCCTTTGACGGATAGTTTTTCTTATTGAGCATGCGCAAAATCGTGTTTACGTCACCGTATCCGGAAATTTGCGGATACGACCGTCCACACGTATCCGTATTCGGAGCGTATTCGAAAATTTTCACTCTGGAGACCGTTTTCGAAAATTTCCGGATACGGATACAAAAATTTCCGGAGACGTGTGGACGGGCCTTACTGACTTACCGAAAGTTCCATAACCATGCATCAACTCGTGACCCGCAACGAAACCAAATTTTCCCAAATTATAAGATCTGCAATCAAATATATCAAAAATTATTTTTATTTCAAAATCAAAGTAAAACTGCAAAGTTATACTCCACAGTAGTGTTAAGTAAGATCCGACGTCTTCTCCAAGTTTTTCGAAACGTGGCGACAAGGGATTGTTTACCCTTGTGGCAATAAAGTGACCGTCCTAGTTTTCTAGTTCGGTTATTATGTGTTTTTCGAATTGAAGGAAAAACTCAAAGTACTTGGAGAAAAGTTTTCTCGTGTGTGAGTGTGTGAGTGAGTGTGTGAGTGAGTGTGTGAGTGAGTGTGTGAGTGAGTG